AGGTTCCTATAACTACAAGAGGTTCTGAAAGCTTGTAGTTGTGTGGGGGTGGACTTGTAAATATGCTAAGTCACTGGTGTGTTATGTGTCACAATGATGCATCATACCACCACTCACTAACCTCACTGCCTTCCACAACACATCCCTTCCTCCCCACACACCTACCTTCCTTCATTCTCTTCCTACCTACCTTCCCTCCTCCTTCCTCTCATCTTTTCCTACCTACTTTCCCTCGTGATGAATGGTTTTGAAAACCGACAAGTTGAAGAATTGAGACACTTATGCAACACATAGGAATCTTTATTGAAGAAACGTTTCGCCACACAGTGGCTTCATCAGTCCAATACAAAGTAGAAGTTGGTAAGGAGAGTAGAAGTTTGAGGTAATCAGTCCCTCAACCTGGAATCGATGTGTTCAGTCCATCACTCTTGTAGGAAGTGCAGCACAGGGCCAGAGAGGTGGCTTATATACTGCGGTGAGATGAGTTGAAGCAGGAGGAGGCGGAATCACAGTGGGACCTGCCACTAGTGTAAATAGGTCGTCGTCCAAAGGTTGGGCAAGCGTTGAAGTCTTTGTACCAAGATCCCATGATGTTGCAGTGTCTGACAGATGTGATGAATGGTTTTGAAAACCGACAAGTTGAAGAATTGAGACACTTATGCAACACATGGGAATCTTTATTGAAGAAACGTTTCGCCACACAGTGGCTTCATCAGTCCAATACAAAGTAGAAGTTGGTAAGGAGAGTAGAAGTTTGAGGTAATCTTACACTAGTGGCAGGTCCCACTGTGATCCCGCCTCCTCCTGCTTCAACTCATCTCGCCGCAGTATATAAGCCACCTCTCTGGCCCTATGCTGCACTTCCTACAAGAGTGATGGACTGAACACATCGATTCCAGGTTGAGGGGCTGATTACCTCAAACTTCTACTCTCCTTACCAACTTCTACTTTGTATTGGACTGATGAAGCCACTGTGTGGCGAAACGTTTCTTCAATAAAGATTCCCATGTGTTGCATAAGTGTCTCAATTCTTCAACTTGTTGGTTCCTTCCTTCCTTCCCTCCTTCCCTCCTCCTTCCTTCCCTCCTTCCTTCCTCCTTCCTTCCTTCCTTCCCTCCTTCCTTCCTTCCTTCCCCTCTTCCCTCCCTCCTTCCTTCCTTCAAGTAACTTTTCTGGCCTGTGAGACCAATATAAGATATATTGAATGTATATTCACTCGTTGTCTGCTACACAGTAACCGCACAAACAGTTATTATATTGCTTACAAAACATGTTTACACAAATCAACAATAAAAAATGTTGTTTATTACTATTTTTCTATGTCATATATACACACAAAGTCACTGGACACTTCCCAGAACTGCTACAGCTTCTGTAAAGCTCGTAGTTGTGTGGGGGTGGACTTGTAAATATGCTGAGTCACCAGCCTAATTAGTGTCACAATGACAAGTAACACCACCACTCACTGCCTGTCAACACCCATCCCTTCCTCCTCACCCCACCAACCCGCATGGAAATAAGTCACTGTCTGAATATGTTTGAGTTATCCTAGGTTGATGGTCTCCTTCCTTTCTTCCCTCCTTCATTCCTTCCCTCCTTCCTCTCATCTCTTCCTTCTTTCCTCCCTTTCTTCTACCTTCCTTCCTTCTTCCTTCCTTCAGGTTGGTTTCCTGGGCATTGCCTTCAGTCACAAACTTCTCAAAACCATGAAATTCATCTTCAATGACACTTCCATCTGTGTCTGAACTGTCACTTGGGAACAAAAGAGCCCCAATTAGCTGAGGAGTGAGGAGTTTCTTACCACTAGACATGGTGAACAAGGTGTAATAAAATGGCTTTCCCACAATGCACCACTGGGTCCCCGATTTTTTTTATACCGCGCACACTGACCATGGAGACCCATTCTCTCACATCCAGGACTACCAGCCTTTTCCTGCTTGATTTGAGGACGCTAGAATTTATGCATATTAGTATGGCACCAACCCTTGCGTGTAAGCTTTACTAGTACGGCACCAACCCTGAAAGGGTTAACCCTTAAATGGTCCAAACGTATATATACGTTTTTTCAACATCTGAAAGTATGTAAAAAAATGTATTTTTTTTTTTTGTTTTACATTTGAAAATGTGTAAAAAAAAACTTTTATCTACATTTTTTTTTGTTACATTTGAAAATATGTAAAAAAAAAGTAGATCTACTTTTGTAGCACTACGAATTTGAACGTCAATTTGTTTGGACCATTTAAGGGTTAAGAATGATAGACTGGTACCTTCAGCAAAGCCCTCGTCTCATCCAACTAATTCTTATGGAAAATAAAGTACAGGGGTACTTTGACTTACGAGTTTAATTCATTCCACGACGGAGCTCTTAACTCAATTTTCTGGTATATCAAATCAATTTTCCTTGTTGAAATTAACTGAAATGTCATTAATCCATTCCAGCCCAAAAAAGAAACACCCAAATTTTTTTGTTATGGGGTTTTTAATCCATTTGACTGTCGCAACCCCAAATCCTGAGGTGTCTCCTGTTGTCAAATAATAATAATACAAAAAAAATTCCTATGAAAATATTAAGATTAATTTTCTAACTGTTTTAAGCCCCAAAACAAATTTTTGTGATCAGTACTTACCCAGACATAGAGGAGTAAAGTTGGCAGAAAATAAGCCACGTTTGACAACAGCGGCGAGTGCCGTTCACCTGGTAAAGTTTGGTTTATTTGCATTCTAAGGTTTCTTGTTTTTTTCACTATTTTATTTTTTCACATAACTTATGTGGCCTGTGAGTCCAAAGTAAGGTGCAATGTACATATATACACTCGTATACACACAATAAGCGCACAAACATAATTAACAATACATTGTTTACAAAACTTGTTTACACAAACAATACAAAAAATTTTTTATTACTATTGTTCTATAATATATATACAAATGTACAGTCACTGGACATGTTCCTAGAAGTTCTGTAGCTTGTGTAACTCTTTGAAACATGGTTTCATACACAATGGTGGTTTACACTCCTCACACATAAAACGAGTGTCTCTGCGTCTTTGTGGGCGTTTTTTTTTTTTATGTGCACAGACAAAATGCCTCGTCTGAGCAGTTTTCTTCATAGTAGTAGCAGATAGTTGTGTTAGGTAGTTATCCTAGGTAAGTGTGTCATCATTCCTTCCTACCTACTACCTACTTACCTTTCTTTCTTCATTCTTTTCTTCCTTCCTTCCTTCCTTCTGGTTTCTATTATACATATATACACATAAATAGTCACTGGACACTGTTATTATCTTCAGCAAGCTTGTGTTGTATGAATGCGTGTGGACTACTAAATGTACTGAGTCAGGTCTGGCAGCTGTCAAAATGACATATTGTATCATTACTCACTCCCCTACTGCCTGTCAAAACAATAGGGTCCAATGCTGCTTCCCCTCCATCCTCCTACCTAATTATATCTTTCTTTCTCCTCCTTTCTTCTTCATTCTCCCTCTTTTTTCTTTTGTCTCCTTTCTCCTTCTTTCTCTTTCTTTCTCTTTCATTCTTTCTCTTTCACTCTTTCTCTGTCATTCTCCTTCTTTCTTCTGGTATCCTGGGCATTGCTTTCAGTCACAAACTCCTCAAAACCATGAAATTGATCTTCACTTATACTTCCATCTGCGTTAGAGCATCACTTGGGAAGAGAAGAGTCCCAGATTTGCCGGGGAGTCACATATTTCTTACTGCTAGGCATGCTGAACAAGGACTACTGAAACGGCATTCCCACAATCCACCACTGGCTCCCCGATTTTTTTTATATGGCGCACACTGACCATGGAGACCCATTCTCTCACATGTGGGCCTACCAGCTTTCTCCTGCTTGAGTTGAAGCCGCTAGAATTTTGGCGTATTAATGCCGGGAGCAAGGGGCTAGTAACCCCTTCTCCTGTATATACATATTACTAAATTTAAAAGGAGAAACTTTCGTTTTTCCTTTTGGGCCACCCCGCCTCGGTGGGATACGGCCGGTGTGTTGAAAGAAAGAATTTATAAATAAGAAATATTGTACAAAAAACATAATAAAGCATAATAAAAGAGAATGTAAAGAAATTAACTAGTTTCATAAAGTGTATTTACCTTGGAGATCAGACAACCTGGACTAACGGAAGATGTTGGTGGAAGTGGAGGGTGGAAAAGATAGGCAGAGGAGACTGGAGTAGTTTGTTTTGCTTCGTGCTTTTTCAGTCGCTTTCGTTCATCATAAACTCTATCGCTTAATTACTTAATTTACTTGCTTGGCTGGTATTATGCCTTTATCAACTCCTTTAGTATGGTATATATTGTATAAGTACTACGCCCATACTGCCTCACCAAGTTGACTACAGCACACCTTGCTCATGCTTTTCTATGATTTCATGCTTTAATTTAATGGACATCATCCTCTTCTTCTTCTCAGCACTGTCCTTTGCACTTACTTTCTTAGACCCATGGTTAGAAAAAAGAAATTTGGTAAAATAACTGCACAAAAAGCACAAAACACAAGCACAACACAAGAGAGATGCTTCCACTGCGAAGTAACCACATGCACTGAACAAGTGAGACGTGGGATGCTGGGCGGATGTTGTGGCATTCGCTGCATCAATTAGTGGCAGCGTATCTGAAGCTCGTTCATAACTTGGATTTTGGCTCGCAACTCAAAGCAAAAAATCAACAGAGCGATGGCTCGTAACTCGGAAAACTCATAAGTTGGGGCACTCATCGGTTAAGGTACCACTGCATACAAACAAATTTTATTTCTTTGCTAAGGTTGCCATGTGTGATTTACATTTTATAAAGTGTTGTGAAATACAAAGAAAGCCACTAACATGCTAGTACAATAAACCTACCATTAAGTAAATCAGAGGTATTTATAGATTGAATTCATATAAAATTATCAAGGAATTTTCATACCTGGACCCTTAATTATAATTAGTTCATTCTTTTTAGAGTGGCTTCTGGCTTTTTTATGAATTGTGTATATTAACCATTCTTACCTGGGTAAGCAGCATTTAGTGTGTTGGCTTCCAGAGAGCATACACCATGTACCTTCTCCTTGTACTGGTTGAATGTGAAATTTGTGCTCACGTCAAGAAGCACCATTAGATGATCAAACAGACCAGAAAATGCCTATGCACAAAAACAAATTAAACATTTATGTCACACTGTCTCATATTAATTTGTTACTTAAATACTTCAAAATAGTGCATAAATTTCCCAAAACAGCAATAAGCTTCAGCTTTCAATATAAAACACTAACCTGCACTGGGCCTTGTTCCTTAGCTACTGTACTATAATAGTTCAAAGGCATCTCCCACTATGGAAGAGAAATTGGGAAAATAGTACTTTCCTTAAGCCACTTTCCCCTTTTTTAAACTGTTTTAACATGTTAGATATTTCCCACCAAGGAAGAGTGAACCAAAGAAATTAACACATTCACTAACACTTACTCCTCAGTTATCTTTCTAGAAACACATGACATCACAATTAAAATGATCCATTGAGCTGCAACATCCTCACTATTACTTTCATACATTTTTTAACACAGTGACCTTTTCCCATCACGGTAGGATGACCTACAAAATAGGAAATGCATTCAACATCATTTATTAATTTATTTCAACACATTATCCCCATTTACCTTCAGCATCCTCAGTTGTAAATCCATCCACCAATGATGTTTTTCCCCCTTTTAGCTTTCATTTTTCCTCATTCTCATTTTGGCTTGTCACTCACAATACATGATCCCAGAGTTTACTAAGTAATTATTCCACTATACTGAGTACAAATATTTTATCTTTTTTTTAGACAAGATGTGCTAACCAAATAAATTATTATTTGCAAATACAGGTTGGCCATCACTAATCTGGTAATTAGTAATCTGGTTCCATCAGTAATCCAGCACTAATTTTGGCTAGAATAACTTCAAATTTTTGGGGTTCCCACACCAACCTGCCACTACTGCTTGGTGGTGCTGCTTCCTTCATAAGCCATTCCAATTTCCCTTTCTCCATTTATTGCTATAACGTGCTCACTTTTAGCCCTAGCCATGGTTCCAACAAATAAAAGAAATGCTTCTCATTGTGTAAAGCACCTACACCATACACTGTCTATAAAAGATAAGGTAGCTCTGAAGCCACTGTTGCTCACCATGACTCACCTCACTCAGATAAGCTGTGACTAGTAAATTTGGGCCTACATAAGAGAAAATAGGTCTGTCTGTGTGGTAAGTGTGCACTATATAAACAAAAATTCTGCAGCAGGCAGTGCATAATGAGAAAAAACTACGACCATGGTTATGGTGTAAACCCAACTTTGCAGTGTATTTTCATATGGTTTGTATGGTTGTATTTTTTTTTTTTCATTTGATAGAATGGAAGTTATATTACAGAAATAGATATAATTTTGATTGGTTTCATGCCGGAAAATACCTTAAAATTGAGCTCAAAGTAGCAGAAATGTTTGATTTTTGCCGATGTTCAAGAGTAAACAAATGACATCACCATTCAATACGTGTCCAACTGGCCAGTCTAATATGCAGTCATGAATGGGTTGACATTATTTATACAATTATTACAATAATGCAGTAGTCTGCATAACAGTAAATCTTCTATTTTTTGTGTGAATAAAAATTCAAAATGGAAAGCAAGCATAATATAAAAGGGGACTGAAGATGTGACTAATGAACAGAGAAAATGTTATTTGAGTGCTAGAACTGTCTGCAGTGTTTATTCTGGACCCTATTTCAAAATTGGCATCTTTTGAAGTTTGTGTGAAACTGGCCTAATTACCAATGTCTGACCACTTTACTGGGTAGTTGAAATAGGTGAATGGGCGGTTTCTTGTACTCAATCGACAGGATAGAAGGAATACTAGAGAAATAGCTATGAGTTTGGAACAATTTGAATGGGCCAAAAATTGGGTGTAAAATGGGTGAAATCGCCTATGCGTAAATATCGCTGTTGGGTTAAATGTATTCTAACCTAACCACTCCGTAATCCGGCAAAATCACTACTCCAGCACCCTACAGGTCCCAAAGATGCCGGATTAGTGATGGCCAACCTGTACTTCTCTTGCAATCTGCTGTTTATCTATCATTCACCTGTTTGGCTCACAATGTGCATTTTGAATGGTGGGCCCCATTAAATTGCATGTTTGTGTAGTATAACAGGAGGGAACCTGCAAGTTACCAGTAGATAGTAAATGAAAGGTCTAAAGAAAGTGTTCAAAATATAACTGATTTTCTGTCATCATGTTTTTCCTAAATTATTTAATATTATAGTAGGATACTCTAATTTATAAAGCTATGTTCTACAAAATTAATATCAACAAAGAAGTCACTTGATATAATAATATAAAATACTGTGCAGTGCAGTACTTACAATAATTGTATGGTTGACTGAGGGTACTGAGTGTGCACCCATGCAGTCACCATATGTGAAAGTCTCTTTGCATAACTGGTGGTTGAACAAGCGTCTTATCTTCTCCTCACACTTAGAAGCATCGCTGGAGCCTTGGAATTTAAAGGAACTTGACACTTTAATGTTTTTATCATCTTTTGTTAAAGCAACCTTTTCTGTGTGAGAAATAGTTTTATCATTATTCCTCTGATAATTCTTGAAGATCATTTTAAGTTTTTTGTGATTGACATTCATGATTGCTGATAGAAGAGGCTTGGAATGATCTGTGAGTGTGCAAGGTCCATTAAGATCTGATGCTAATACATCATAGGAAGTACCCTTTGCTAAGCATGGATCAATAGTTGCATTCGGTGATACGGCTCCCACTTGTTTAACATTAGCTCCAGTCTCCTTAAGTAGAAGAAAATTATGCCGTAGTCGGGCTTGTGCAATTCCATAACAGAGAAAAGACTGACTGTGGACCCTATATGGAAAAAGATAAAATGTAAATAAACAAGTACATGTTTCTATTTAGCAGGATGAACCAATGAAACCAGAGTCTTTTAATTAATGTCTTTTTAGTGTCCCTGTCTCTGTAATTACAGGGACAAGGGTAACTAGCTAATTGCACTTAGCATTCTTGTCCCATTCCATAACATGTAAAATGGATAGAAACATGGCAACTAGCTGATTTTCTGATAAGGCTATATAACCACAGGCTTGTTATTGGATAATGTGTTACTGAAGGTCCCCACGACAAGAGAGACTCAAGCGAGCCAGGGTTGATGTTAGGGTGGATGAGTGATTCATACACTCCACCTCTTCCTCAATCCATATTAATATGAAGACAAAATTCTCTTACCAATCAAATAATACTAAGTACTAACACAGTTACACAGTTCTATCTAGTTATTTCAAGGAGGAGTATCCACTAGCCCAATTTATATGAAATGAATCATTAGCTGAGTTTCAGTGATATCACAACAGTAACATTATAGATAAGATGGTCCACACCCACCTGGAAACTGGTAGTGATAAAACTGTGTAACTTACATAGTCCAGACTATTTCCTAGACAGAAGAGAGAAATGTTAACTGGTACATGCAGCATATTAATTTAAAGTTGTACAGGTACAACTTAAATTTTCCCTAGCTTCTGAAGCCTTACCAGTACAGCCACTCCTTACTTCGTGACATACTCGTTTACCAACAACTTGGACTTATGATGGGCTCTCTGACCAGTATGCATACCTAAATGTATACTAAAGCTGATTTCCTGTATTCTGTTTACTACAATACTACAGTGGACCCCCGCATAGCGACCTTAATCCGTGCAAGAGGGCTGGCTGTTATGCGAAATGTTCGGTATGCGAATGAATTTTCCCCATAAGAAATAATGGAAATCAAATTAATCCGTGCAAGACACCCAAAAGTATGAAAAGAAAAATTTTTACCACAGGAAATGTTAATTTTAATACACACAAACTGAAAAAGGCATGCACAATTACATGACACTTACTTTTATTGAAGATCTGGTGATGATTGATGGGATGGGAGGAGGGGAGAGAGAGTGTTAGTGTTTAGAAGGGGAATCCCCTTCCATTAAGACTTGAGGTGTCGAGTCCTTTTCTGGGGTTACTTCCCTTCTTCTTTTAATGCCACTAGGACCAGCTTCAGAGTCACTGGACTTCTTTCGCACAACATATCTGTCCATAGTGGCTGTACCTCTCGTTCCTTTATGATTTGTCTAAAGTGGTTCACAACATTGTCATTGTAACAGTCACCAGCACGGCTTGCAATAGCTGTGTGAGGGTGATTTTCATCAAAAAAGGTTTGCACTTCAAGCCATTTTGCACACATTTCCTTAATCTTTGTAGTAGGCAATTCCTTCAATTTCTCTCTCCCCTCCTTTGAACCAGTTTCCCCAGGTCTGGCCTCTTGCTCTTGAAGTTGATCTATCAGCTCATCAGTGGTTAGTTCTTCATTGTCCTCCTCCACCAACTCTTCCACATCCTCCTCACTAACCTCCAACCCCAAGGACTTCCCCAATGCCACAATTGATTCCTCAACTGGTATACTCCTCTCAGGGTTAGCCTCAAACCCTTCAAAATCCCTTTTGTCTACACATTCTGGCCACAGTTTCTTCCAAGCAGAGTTCAAGGTCTTCTTAGTCACTCCCTCCCAAGCCTTACCTATAAGGTTTATACAATTGAGGATATTGAAGTGATCTCTCCAAAACTCTCTTAGAGTCAGTCGAGTTTCTGAGGTCACTACAAAGCACCTTTCAAACAGAGCTTTTGTGTACAGTTTTTGAAGTTTGCAATAACCTGCTGGTCCATGGGCTGCAGGAGAGGAGTGGTATTAGGAGGCAAAAACTTCACCTTAATGAAGCTCATGTCCCCATAAAGTCGCTCTGCCACGTCTGTAGGATGACCAGGGGCATTGTCTAACACCAGGAGGCACTTAAGTTCTAATTTCTTTTCAGTTAGGTAATCTTTGACATTGGGGGCAAATGCATGGTGTAACCAGTTATAGAAAAAGTCCCTAGTGACCCATGCCTTACTGTTTGATCTCCACAGCACACACAAATTATCCTTGAGGACATTCTTTTGCCTGAACGCTCTGGAAGTTTCAGAGTGATACACTAATAAAGGCTTAACTTTGCAATCACCAGTAGCATTGGAACACATCAACAAAGTAAGCCTGTCTTTCATAGGCTTATGTCCTGGGAGTGCCTTTTCTTCCTGAGTAATGTAGGTCCTGCTTGGCATTTTCTTCCAAAACAGGCCTGTTTCATCACAATTAAACACTTGTTCAGGTTTCAGTCCTTCAGTTTCTATGTACTCCTTGAATTCCTGCACATATTTTTCAGCCGCTTTGTGGTCCGAACTGGCAGCCTCACCATGCCTTATCACACTATGTATGCCACTACGCTTCTTAAATCTCTCAAACCAACCTTTGCTGGCCTTAAATTCACTCACATCATCACTAGTTGCAGGCCTTTTTTTAATTAAATCCTCATGCAACTTCCTAGCCTTTTCGCTTATGATAGCTTGAGAAATGCTATCTCCTGCTAGCTGTTTTTCATTTATCCACACCAATAAGAGTCTCTCAACATCTTCCATCACTTGCGATCTCTGTTTCGAAAACACAGTTAAACCTTTGGCAAGAACAGCTTCCTTGATTGCCTTTCTGTTGCCCACAATAGTAGAGATGGTTGATTTGGGTTTCCTGTACAACCTGACCAGGTCGGTGATACGCACTCCACTTTCATACTTATCAATGATCTCTTTCTTCATCTCTATTGGAATTCTAACCCTTATTGCTGTAGGGTTGGAACTAGAAGCTTTCTTGGGGCCCATGGTCACTTATTTTCCAGAAACAGCACCGAAAACACTGTAATAATACGAAATATTCCGATTGTATGCTTGAATGTTACCGCGGAGGCTGGCTGGTAAACAATGCCACCGGCGGAACATATGAGGTTGGCTCAGGCCGCACATTGGACACGTCTCGGACGAAGGGCGCTGAGCGGGTTTTTGGGCGGTATGCGAGGCAAAATTTTAGCGATCAAAGAGTCCGGTATGCGGATTGTCCGTTATGCAAGGCGTCCGGTATGCGGGGGTCCACTGCACTGTATAAATATTTAAAAATATACTAAAAATGTTATCAATGTGCAAAGGTGACATTAACCCTGAAACTGTCCAAACATAGATCTACGTCCACGTGCAGGGGGCTTCGAACGTAGATCTATGTTTTTTTTTTACATGCTTTCAAATAAGGAAAATCAAGGTTCGAGCACCATGCACATGAGCATAGATCTACGTTTGGACAGTTTAAGGGTTAAAACAATATCAAAGATGGTTGACACAAACCCACTACCATTATAGTATGCTCATTGCTTAGTGACAAATTCGTTTACCAACGTGGTCTTATTGTGAAAATGTTTGGAAGAGCGCAGAGGCTAATGCTCACTCCAGGATAAACAAAGCCACAATGACTCACAATGCCTCAACCACTTCCTCCACCACTGCTTCAACCCTCGTATTTTTGTGCAATTTCCCTCTTCAACTTTATCGTATTATTATTACTATTATTAGCAGTAGCAGTAGCAGAAATGTTCAATTCTTTGCAGTGTTCAAGAGTAAACAAATGATGTCACCATCCAATATCTAATTATTATTATTATTATTATTAGCAGTAGCAGAAATGAAAGTTAAGACACATGTGCAACATCTGGTAATCTTTATTGTAGATGTTTTGCCATCCAGTGGCTTTATTAATACAGATTCAAGGACATAACTAGAATACAGTAGAATTATATACAAAAGATGAGGTACATACAGTAGCAGAAATGTTCGATTCTTTGCCGTGTTCAAGAGTAAACAAATGATGTCACCATCCAATATCCAATAAGTATTATTATAATTATTTATTATTATTAGCAGTAGCAGAAATGTTCGATTCTTTGCCGTGTTCAAGACTAAACAAATGATGTCACCGTCCAATATCCCATTATTATTTTTATTATTATTATTCTTAACAGTAGCAGCAGCAGAAATGTTCAATTCTTTGCCATATTCAAGAGTAAACTAATGATGTCACCGTCCAATACCTGTCCAAATGGCCATTCCAATATGCAGTCAAGAATATATAGTGTAACTGCATGGCATGATGAGTCTAGTGTGTGGATTCTAAGTCTTCACTGCCAGCATCACTGGGTGGAGAATGACTTGAGTGGCGGGAGGACTGGCTGCCTGTTGCGGGGGTCGGAGAGAGGGTAGTAGGGATGCACGGGTGGCGGGAAACTTAAATATGATTTTGCTGCTGGGAATTTGGCGCCTGGGAATTCGCGAATGTGTGAAGCCCGCGAAAGTTGAAAACGCTAATGTTGAGGGAGACCTGTATTTACAAAACTTGTTTGCACAAACCAACAATACAAAAAAATTTTTATTACTATTGTTCTATAATATACAGTGGAACCTCAGCTTACGAACGCCCCACCATGCAAATTTGCAAGGATACGAATCGTCGTTCGGTCGATTTTTTGCTTCTGGATACAAACGAAATTTCAGGATGCAAACTTCCCCCTCGAGAGAGGTTCCTTAAATAAATAAATAAATAAAATATTTATTTCTTTGCAAAGGTTACAATATGTGTTTACATATCATAATATGATTGGAGCAAAGAAAGCCACTATCATGCCGAGGCATTTCGGGCAGACTTAACCTAATACTAATAGACTACTTAAGTATAGACAGGTGAAAAGTGTACTAGTAGTGGTTACCAATGTTTTGCTGGTGGTGGTGCCAACTACTGGGAGCCTTTTGAAGTTTCTCACTGTTATTATTATTATTATTACTATTACAGTGGACCCCCGGTTAACGATATTTTTTCACTCCAGAAGTATGTTCAGGTGCCAGTACTGACCGAATTTGTTCCCATAAGAAATATTGTGAAGTAGATTAGTCCATTTCAGACCCCCAAACATACACGTACAAACGCACTTACATAAATACACTTACATAATTG